ATATATATGTATGTATGTATGTATGTATGTATGTATGACATTTCAAGGCCTCCATCTCTGCTTTAGTTGGTTTTCCACTAGAGCTTTCTTCCCACCACGAGTACAAAATCTCTGGACCTCTACTCTTCAAGTTTTTTTCCTGTCCCTTATTTTTTATTTCCCTTCCAAATTTAATCTCCCATGTTCTTCTACTCATTCCCCACTCTTTCAGAGCTCTCTCAGCCCAAAAAATAAATGTCTTGCTGGCTAGCATGATGCTAATGAGCTAGAACTTAAGGCTGCCAGGCAATCTTCAGAGCTCCTACCTATACTATACACAATGCTAGGTAAGAATTAATTAATTCCCCATTCCTTAACTCTTTCATTTCCTCTTCTGGACTGCTCTGCCCTGCTACCAGCCAGTCTTTCCCACTGCATTCCCCTCTTGGTCTGCAACCCCTTCCTTCATACCTAAAATTCCTTTTCCGTTTTACATCTTCTGACCCCTTCAGGGCAGCCTCTCACCTATCTGTTTGCTCTGGTCTACCCATATGCAAGGACACGTTTAAAAGTATGCACCTGTAAACTAGGCACAAAGTGGATAGTTTTATTAGATTGTCATATATAGACTGCCATGGTACTCTTGAAAATTAAACAGTTTAGACTGGCTGTCTTGTGCTCTCAACTTGATTCCCCATTTTCTTTTCTGTATTTTCAATAGTGCAATAAAATTATTTGCTGATTACGTTCTTGTCTCCCTTCCATTCTGCTCTTCTCAAACATTTAGTGTGCCAAGCTGGAACCCAGTGTATATAACAAACTAAAGGATCCTGGTTTTGCCCCAGAACACATGTTCTCACATGTTGGGGACACTCTTCATGTGACAGGCCTGACACAGGGAATTATTTGGGTAGTACGCTGCACAACTAGGACTTCCTATGTACAGAGTGGCATCTCATTTCAAAAGGGTGGGCAAAACTCCCTGTGGAAATCTGTTTGTGCCAGTGACCACATTCAAGGCTCAAATACACTTAACTCACAGAAGCATGCTCTCTCATTTACTGGGGGAAGGGGAAGGAAAGAGTTTTCTGGCATAAATAAAATCTGCTTGAGCCATCCTCACATAACCTACTTTATATGCATAGCTCTTTCCCTGACACTGTGTGTGGAGCAGTCAGCCATGTAGGTGGGTGACTTCCTAAAGCCTTAAACCACATTCTGACAGCAGGATAAAGTGAAGACTTTTGAAAGGGGGGGGGTGTGAATTGGGGGAGCCTTCCCACTTAGACTTTTGTGCAAGACATTGGGGGGTTTTCTGAAGCAGAAGCAAAACAGCAGTTTCACAAAGCAGGTCATCTCCCTCTTCCTTCTCACCCCCTCAAGCCTTGGCAGCATGTAAGATATACATAACTGTGATAATTACTTTATGTAAAAAGCTGCAGCACACTTCTGAAACAACAGGATAAGCCACCGCCTACAATTTCTGAAGTCTGCTTTTATTAGAAAAGAAATACCATTTGCTTGACAGTTACTTAAATAAAGAGTCCATAGTGAACATTTTACTAAATGCTAACATACTGCTCTCTCATTTTAGTGTCGTATTACTTCGAAACAGCAGCTAAAATTTGATTCTTTTTCTACAAAGATTCTCTGGATAGAACTTCCAGGTGCCTTCTATTATAATCTAAGTACTTCTTGCTTTCCTGCATTATTCATTAATATAGCACCAGGCATATGAATGGCATGACATAAAGATACGTAATCCTAGAAGGTTCACAACAGATGCAAGACTACCCAAGAATGACTCACAACCAGTGTTCGGCTGCACTCATGGTTTGGTCCATTAGTGTAATGGGGGACATGCAAGACAAGAAATTCAGTTGCAACATGGAGCTAAACATGTGCTTATGCTCACCCCCACATTTCTCATGAAACTAAATGCTGTTTTTTCAACCCACAGGAGTTTCTGAAGACCAAGCCATCAGAAATCGGGGCACAGAAAAGAGAAAGAAAAATAATAATGAAAACCCAGTTTCCAAAAACATTATTCTGAAACTTATTAAGGATTGCAATAAGTTATTTGTTCCTGCAACTTTTTATGGTGTTGTTTCAATATTAGAGGTTTCAGTCTTAACTCAGATTGCTCACTATTCCTATTCATTTTTGTGAAAACAAAGCTTCAACTATATCAGTGATAGAGGTGGGGGAAGAGATTAATATATGTTCAAGCCCATTTCTGGCCTCCAGACTAGAAACGTAGTACATGATTTTATAGAGAAAAAATTCTTTTTAACATAAATCATCAACTAAAACTGGCAAAGATGTCTGCAGTAGGGATGGCCACGAATCGAGAAAATGGAGGTTTGTGAGGTCTCATGAACCATGAACCTCCACAAACCTTCCTGTGTAATGAAGCAGTTTGTGGTTCAGGAGGTTCAGGAGAAGATCTAAGATCTTCCCTCCCTCCTTTCTGCAGGCAGCAGCTCCCCAAGGCCAGCAGAACAGAAGTGGGGGGGAGATCTTGTAAAAGCCATTTAAATGGACTGTTCCCTTTAAATGGCTTTTGCAAGCCATTTCAGCAATCCCTGTTGCTTCCCCCGCTTCCAAGTGGGGGGACTGAAAAGGATAATTGAAATGGCTTGCATCTATTTCAGCTAAATGGATGCATGCCATTTCAGCAATCCCTCTTGTTCCCCCCACTTTCCAACATGAACCTCCAAAATCACGCGGAGGGTCATGGGAGGGTCATGGATAGGGATGGGCATGAACCTTCAATTTGCAAACCACAAGCCAGCAATGTTCACCATGAAATTAGGTTCATGATGAGCTTTGTGCCCACCCCTAGTCTATAATACAGCTTTGATATTTTATGCCAATAAAGGTATTGTATTTGTATTTGTATAATACAGCTTACTGCACTCATTCTACACCATGGGACAATTGTAAGAACACCTCCCCCACCGCCACCGCTGTGTTACTGCAACTGCTAATTGCTGCTATCAGCCATACTACTACCACATTCCCAGGTGGGCACATTTAACAGAAAAAGTTACCAAAAAAAAAAAGAGGCAGCTGCACTTTTCCCCTCAAAGTCCATGCAGGAAGAATGCTAAGACAGTTGCAAATTAGGAACAGAAATTGTGACAAATCACAAGACACTTACGATCAAGTCCGTTGATGTATCTCATTGTAATTTCACAGTGCCCCCAAACTGCACTGACTACAGGGTACAGTTTTTTCCCTTTTAGTCCCCTGAAGGCAACTCCAAGGTACTGTCCATCTACAATGAAGCTAAGTGTCCCTTCATCCATATCCAAAACTACCAGTAAGGAGTCTGGTAGTACAAAAGACTCATCTGGTTCCAAAAATACAGGATACGTCACCCCAGGCTGATTTTTACAGTTATGATAAAGTTTGTTGCGTCCGAGGTCCCAGCCCCATGATTCACTATTACTTCCAACCAATGACGTATATCCTACAGAATGCAAGGGAGCTTCTGCTGTCGACACTCCAACCACAGCATGTGTCCCCCGTTGTCTGGTAGGCCAGTGAATCTGCCAGACATGTAGGCCCCTCGTATAGCCAACTTTGCCCCGGATGCAGTCCGTGCTTTGGGCAACGGGATGTCTATGAAATGTCAGTTTGTCGTCTTCCTTCACAAATATATTTAAGGATCGATCTTCATTGTTCCAAGCGTGTTTATACTGAACCTCCAAATGGGCTGGGGGCATATCCAGCAACATATCCAGACGTGCAGGCTTGCAGAAATCCGGACCCCTCAGTTCTCGTTTGACAGGTCTGTAAGGGGGCTCCCTCACATCAACAGACTTTATGCTCCCTGAGATTTTTTGGCCCATTGCTTGGCTACAGAACACCTGGCTGCAGGAAACGAAAGGTGGATCTGGGCCCAGTGTTAACTCATGAAAGCACTTTCAACTGAGCCAACGGCTGGGTCTGCAGACTGGACTTACTTCTTCGTGGATCCTCTTAAAGCCACCGTTTTCTGAAAATACCCTCCTGAAATAAAGCAGAAAACCTCCAATTAAAAAGTAGCCAACTTATAACCCACATGTGTATTCTTGAAGAATTTTTCTGATCTGTGCCAAGTTATTTTAAATCAAGATCCTATAATTCTCTTCTTTGTGGCCTTTGTACTACAGTGTTCACTAGTCAAACTGTCAGTTGGATATATGGAGCTCACAGTGTTCAGAGTACAGACAGCAATTTCCTTCTTTTCATAATAGACACAGACATTCCACTCCTTTTGCCCTTCCACCCAGATAGTCTAAAGGCAGTCATTGCACAGAGTTTTTCCTCCATTATCAGGTATGCCTACAGTTGTACACATTTTGACTCACAGTTCGTTTTTTAAACTGCCTCGAAAAAAATCACTTTTTTCTAGCATTTTCTTTCTGAATATGCTTTTCCAATCCAAGAATGTCCTGTAAGAGAAGCTCGACTAGCATGGCTGGAATGAATGGCCTGATGATAGCAAACAGCTGTGAAATGTGATACTTCACCTTTAAACAGCACCATACCCCTTAAATAAATAGTACACGGCAAAACTCATTTTATTATTCATGATGGGCTTGTGGGAAGGAGTAGACAGAAACATAAGCATTCCTAAGAGGGGTCCTTTGACCAGCCAAACCTGTGAAGTGTTTGGTTTAAAATATAAAGTGTTAAGTGGTGATGCTGAACTACTCGAGGTAGGATACTGTCCATTATTTATTTACTTTTACTACTTACCATGCCAGAAACCAAGGGTTTTGACATAAGGCAATTTCCTTCCAATGTATTTTTCAGGGGTGCATAATACATGAACTGGAATAAGGTACTTCTCCTAAAAGTAGTGAACTGTGTGTATCATAAACCAGAGACTTGCACATTTGGGCATCTTTGCACACAAACATTTTCACATATCAGTATTATTTTGAAAATTAAGCTATGCTGCCAAGGGGGGGATGTATCCTTGGGATTCCTCCAAGTTACTTTCAGCAGGTAGATGTTGCAAATGTGGACACCTTACATGGAGGACTCAGTCAAAAGAACAACTTGCACAGCTGTTGGATCCCCAAGCATCGAGAATAAATCCACGTTTTAAGAAAAGCAAAATTTATTTCAAAGCGTTGACGACATACTCAAACACGTTCTTTGTTAGAACTGGGGATACACAGTTAGATCAAGCATAATAAAGGAACTTCAAAGAGATACAGGTCCAATGAATAACTTTCCCGCTGGCGGGCTAATGGAACGGTTGCGCGCCCAGTCCATGGGAACCAGGCAGGATATTAGACATAACACAGGTGCAGTAGTCATGGGAAAAGCAATAGCCAAGCATTACAGCATCTTCTCCCCCACACAACCTCCAGCAGTTATCTTTTGCATTCCAACGCAGGAGCAGGATGATAGAAACCAAGAGGGGCCCGAATATCCCCTTCTTCCACCCATTCGCGGTGCTGGGGACCGAAATCAACCCATTCGATAAGGTACCAGAGTTTACCACGTTTCACTTTACAATCCAGGATATCAGCGATCTCAAAATGTTCATCCCCTTCCAAAATGACAGGTGGAGGAGGAGTAGTTACAGGTCTCCATGGAGACGGGCCAGGATCCTTCTTTAACAGGCTCATGTGAAATACAGAATGCAAGGCACGTAAATTCTTAGGCAAAACAACATCAACTGCCACATCATTTATGACTTTGCGCACTTTGAAAGGGCCTATGAACTTCCATCCCAATTTCCTGCTAGGCCGCAGCATCTTAATGTTCTTGGTTGAGACATACACAAGATCCCCAGGTTTCAGATCAAACCCCACCACCCTACCCTTGTCTGCCTGGGTCTTGTAAGCAGCCTTGGCTGCGTCAAGTGTTTGGCATAACAGAGGCCATGCTTTTTGCAAGGACATACACCAGGTATCAGCATCCCCCACAGGACGTTGGCCCATCCCCTCCAAGAAAGGGAGGGGGGGGCTGTCGTAACCAGAGACAGCTTTATACGGAGACATGCCTGTGGAGCTATGGACAGTATTATTATAACAATATTCAGCAAGAGGCAATAAGTCACACCAATCATTCTGTTGATAATTAGTAAAACAACGCAAATATTGTTCCAGGGTCTGATTAACTCGTTCCGTTTGTCCGTCAGTCTCGGGATGATACGCGCTGCTGAGTCCTTGTTCCACCCCTAAAATGGAAAGAAGTTCCCTCCAAAATTTAGAAACAAATTGGGTCCCCCTGTCAGAAATTAACTTAGTAGGTAATTGATGAATTTTCACCACGTGAGACATAAACGATTTCGCCAACCTTTGAGCTGTAGGCAAGGAAGGAAAAGGTACAAAATGAGCTTGTTTAGAAAACAAATCAACAACCACCCAAATGATAGTGTTCCCTTTGCTCGCAGGGAGGTCAGTAATAAAATCCATGGATACCACTTCCCATGGTCTCGATGGAGTAGGGAGTGGCTGTAGAAGACCAGGAGGCTTGCCCAATCTGGGTTTAGTCAAGGCACATGTTTGGCAGGACCGAACAAACATCAAGAGGTCTTTGCGCATATGTGGCCACCAGAACTGTCTGCGGATGAGTTGTAGAGATTTAACAAAACTCCAATGCCCTGCCAGTTTCGAACCATGAGCAGACTCCATCACCTCCCTCCTCATTGAAATAGGCACATACAGTTTGTCTCCAGAATAAATCAGACCATCAGGGCTACGGACACAATCAGGCAACGTTGTCAGGGAGGCATCATCCTCAACAGTCAAAGCAGACAGATATTTTTGGACCCAGGCCCCCCCCCCCACAGGGAAAAGGGAAGGCGTAGTCTCATCAGAGTGTGGAATTGCCCGCGCTTGCGCCCTGGTGACCACGGCCCCCCCCAGATGGGAGGGGGAAAAGACAGAGTCCATGATGATCTCACGCTGACTGTCATGTTGTGGGAGGCGTGAAAGCGCGTCAGCCAGGGAATTCGCCGCCCCAGGGAAATGACGAAGAGTGAATCGAAACTTAGCAAAGAAGTCCGCCCAACGAAGTTGCTTAGCGTTGAGAGAACGGGGGGATTTCAGCATCTCCAAATTCTTATGGTCAGTCCAGACTTCAAATGGCAGTTGCGCCCCCTCCAACCACTGCCTCCACGTGGAGAGAGCCAGCCGGATTGCTGACGCCTCCTTTTCCCAAATCCCCCAGTTTCGTTCAGCGTCAGAAAACTTTTTAGACACAAATGCGAGGGGATGTAAACGACCATCCTCCCCCTCCTGCAAAATCGCGGCCCCCATTGCCACATCCGAGGCATCAGTTTGGACAATGAATTTCTTAGTTTCATCAGGGCGCGCCAGCACTGGCTCAGAGGTGAACATCAGTTTAAGTTTCTCAAAAGCCTCTGCGCAAGCAGGGGACCATTTAAGCGGGGCGCCTGGTTTCGTAGCATCAAACCCCTTTCCCTTGGTTTTGAGCAAATCAGTCAGGGGAAGGGCAATTTGAGCGAAATTCTGGATGAAATTTCTGTAAAAATTGGCAAATCCGAGGAACATTTGCAATTGTTTGCGGGTCCTGGGGGGCTCCCAGTCAAGTACAGCTTGAATTTTAGCAGGGTCCATTTCAACCGTCCCCCCAGAGATGCGATAGCCCAAAAAGTCAATGCATGTCTTGTGGAATTCACATTTTGACAGCTTTGCAAACAAGTGGTGTTCATAAAGTCGTTTAAGGACCTTGCGCACCAATTTAATATGCGACGGGAGGTCCTGAGAGTACAGCAACACATCATCAAGGTAAAGGACCACTCCCTTGAATAGAAACTCATGTAGGACCTCATTGATAAGGTTCATGAAGACCCCCGGAGCCCCTTGAAGGCCGAAGGGCATAACGAGGTACTCAAACTGCCCCAAAGGGGTATTAAATGCAGTCTTGCTTTCATCCCCCTCCCGGATGCGCACACGGAAATATGCATCCCGGAGGTCAAGTTTCGAGAAGATTTTGCCCTTGGTGGCCTCAGCTACCAAGTCCTTGATTAGCGGGAGGGGGTAAGCATTGGATAAAGAAACAGCATTCAGACCCCTATAATCAGTGCACAATCTGAGCCCCCCGTCTTTCTTCTTTCGGAAAAGTACAGGCGCGGCGAAAGGGGAGGAAGCCGGGCGAATGAAACCTCGGGCTAGGTTTTTATCAATAAAGTTCCGCAGTTCAACTTTCTCAGCCGGCCCCATCGCATAAATTTTACCTTTGGGCAATTTACAGTCAGGCAAAAGTTCAATAGCACAGTCAGTCGAGCGATGGGGGGGCAATTCGTTAGCTTCCTCTTCGCCAAACACTTTCGCCAAGTCTCTATACTCTCGAGGCAAAGAAGCTAACTCTTCCGGTTGCAAAGTGCCGCAGGGGAACTGCGCGGTCGGCTGGTCCCCCCACGAGTCCACCCAGCAGTGATTTACACACTTAGCCGACACAAACTTGACAACCCCTTCTTCCCACAAGATGTAAGGGTCATGGGTAAACAACCAGGGACTCCCCAGAACTAAGTCGAATTGCGATTTAGGGGTGACAATGAAGGATCTGGATTCCCAATGATCGCCCGCCCCCAGCCGCAAAGCCATAGTCTCGTGCGTACAAGGTTCCATGGGTGCCCCATCCATCTGGGTAAAAATGATGGGAGACTTCAAGGGGGCTATCCCCGCTTCCAGTGCCAACAACACTCTAGGGCTGATGAGATCCCTCCCACACCCAGAATCAATCAACGCTCTCACCCTAACGTGGGTTCCCAGGAGCGGATTCATTAATGAGACAGTCACGAAAAATAGGGAAGGGGTTTCTCTCACCACCTTGGGCGCAGCATTAGAATGGCCTTGTCGTTTTGCGCCTCTCACAACAGGCCGTTGTCGTTTTCCGCCGTTTCAGGCACCACCTCTTCTTCTGACTCGGCAGCAGACGGATCGTTCCCCTCCGAGCCTTGGGCCGCCTGCAAAGCTTTGGAGAAACGCGGTTTAGCCATTCCCTTCTTCCCCGTCAGCGGTGTCTTCGGGCTTGGAGTA